CGCGTTGGTTAAAAGATCAATATACAGACAGACTTGAATTCAATTCTTGAGGTTCAGACACAGCAGAGATGAGCTTGTAGTGGCCAAAAGTCCTTTTAGAAATAGTCCAGAGGTTATAGTCCAATGTTCATATTCAGGGTGACTCCAGTCAGTGACTGGGGATCTCAATCCGTGTGGCTCAGGGTTTCCCCTCTTGAAACCCAAAGCAGATCTGAGATGAAGAAGGATCATGTCCCAGGGTTTTTATACATTTCCAGCAGCCTTTCGGCCTGAGAAAACAATAGGCCTAACACTCCTTCTCCCCAACATCCTGGCAATTAGCACAGGGTCATTTATCCATTAAACAGTTCAGATCCAGGTTACCACAACCTTCAAAGAGACCTAGAGACAATAATACTACTTCACTCAAGTATCATCATAAATGTCAATCTTCCTTTTTGATCTTTGAATTTAAGCTCTAGCAATAGACAAGACTTGTTTGCTGACATCCCAAGACCTGAGCAAACACCTGCCCTTGAGATCTCTAGAGCTCTGAAATGCAGCCGGCATCGTTATTCATTTACAGATCTTCCTAACCAGTTTCTACAGTTCACCATGGGTCAGGTCAGTCTGGGAGTTAATTAACTCCTCCTGGCCCTGTCACCTTCCAATGAGATATTAAACTGATAAGGACAGATAATAGATAATGTTTTCACATACCAGCTCATAGAGAGCTGAGAAGCGTATGACACTCATAACATCACAGTGTGGCAGGGAGTTCCCCAGGTGAACAAGGCCCCCGCCTAGCGCAGAGCTCGTTTTAATTGGAGAGGAGACATTGGCGGGGTTCTAATTACGGGCTGCGGCTAGTGGCAGTGAGTTCCCCAGGTTAAGGACCGGTCACAGGAGAGCCCCCCCGTCCTGGTTTGATCAGAGCCTGGTGCTCAGGGGCCTACAGGTTAATTAACACCTTGGCGTGTAGGAGAGAGTCCCGCAGGCTAACGAGGGGCTGAGGGTGACCCCTGGCGAAGGGGGCTCAGAACCCATAGGGGAGAAGAGGCCCCATGGGACACGTTGCAGCCAGCCGCCCTGGGAGACAATCTGGCCCCACAACCAGTAGCTGGGAGTTCCCCAGGCCCCCGCAGGGCCGCTTTGAAGCGGCTGCCAGCATGAACGTTAGGCACCCACCTCGCCCCGTCTCCGCCCACACCAGGGCGCCAGAGACGCCACCCCGGCAGGCCTGGGAACGAGGGGCTGCCCCCTGCTGGAGGAAAGTGGAGCCACTGTGTGTCAGGGCCCCCTGGCGGCCGGGCTCTGGATCCAGGCATGGGGGGCTGCCCCCCAGAGCTGGCTGCATCGCCGCAGACAGACCCGAAGTACAAAAAAATACCTTCTTTACTGTTAATTTCTCCAGCTCGGGGGGCCCCCCAGGTTTGGGGCTGGGGGCGGATTTACAGTGTGCGGCGGGTGGGGGGGCTCACACACAGCAGGGAGGGGGGCACCCGGCTCCATATAAAACAGACCGAC